CCTAAATTAATGGTTGGCTGTGGAGCCTTTTACTTTAGCGCAGCTGTAGTTTTCCTGGTTGTTTCTCTGGCTGATTGGTTGTTTCCTCCTGTTGCTCTCTGCCCTGGCAGGTACGATTGCAGCTCTGGGACACAGCAGGCCAGGAGAGGTTCCGAAGCTTGATCCCCAGCTACATCCGAGACTCCACAGTGGCTGTGGTGGTCTACGATATCACCAGTAAGTTGTGCCGTCTGCCTGATTTGTCTGTGATGCTGTGCCTGATGCTGGCATGACGGGTGCTGCTTAGGCAGCTGCCCAGTGCAGATGTGAAACACCCCTGGGGAAGGGGAAAATGCAAGGCAGGGTGCCAGAATTGGGAGCTGACTAGCTGGGAGGTCTGAGTGTAGCTGAGAGGGAATCTGGCTCAGACTGGCCTCAGAAGTGCACGCGCTTCCCATGCCTCCGGTCCAGCCAAACTCTGCTCGGAGCAGAAACCAAGGGAAGGGGGAAGTGTAGCAGACATAGCTGGATCGATTTGCATTCCTCTGAATCCTGGGGCAAATCTGAACGATGTCAACTTTCAGCAGCCCCTAGTGGGTGTTACACCACTGAGGGGATATGTATTAAGGAAGACTTAAAACCTCTTTACCAGGGCTGGGCAAATTAGTGCTTGCAGGCCAAATCTGGCCTATGGAGTGATTTTTGCCCAGCCCACAGTGGGTCCCTTGGCCCCACCAGGCAGTGCTGGGGCACCCTAGTCCTGTGCCAGCCCACAGTTCACTTTGGGATGGCCGCACGGCAGCGGCAGCCCATAGCTCTGCCGACTCAGCATGCAGTGCAGCAGAACTGAGAAGAGCAGTGTGGGGCAGTGGCAGCAGTGGGAGCTCCAGTGAGGGCGCTGCATCTGGGGCTAGGGGCCAGTCTCCGTGAAAGCCATGTGTGACCAGGTGGGAAGCTGTGTCCGGGGCTCCTGCCACTGTCCCTGCACCATGCCACTCTGCCCCATGCCAAGCTGGCAGGGCTTGGGACTACCATCACTGTGCAGGCATCCCAGGGTGAGCTGCAGGCTGGAACCGGATGGGGGTGCCCCAGCGCCACCCATCTGCCCAGGCCCTGGCCCAGTCCTGACCACTGCTTAGAATCAAAGAAAATGAGGGTTGGAAGAGACTTCAGGAGGTCACATCTAGTCCAACCCCCTGCTCAAAGCAGGACTAGCCCCAACTGGACCATCCCAGCCAATGCTTTGTCTAGCCAGGTCTTAAACACCTCCAAGGATGGAGACTCCACCACCTCTCTGGATAGCCTGTCCCAGTGCTCCACCAACCTGCTAGTGAGAGTTTTTCCTAATATCCAACCTAAACCTCCCTTGCTGCAACTTGAGACCATTGCTCCTTGTTCTGTCATCTGCTGCCATGTGCATGGAGGGGCATGGAGTCGCCACTGGGTCCACCCCTCTCCCTCCCATGCCTGTGAGCTGTGCAGCCCAGGCTGGGGGACGAGATGGGTAAGGGGAGGTAGGAGGGAGGCTAAGTTCCCCCCACTTGGTGGGCTTCATGGTGACATGAGGCCATTCCCTGCACCTGCCTCTGCTTCCCCTCCTCACCTTTCTGAACCTCCTCTGTGAGGCTCGCAGCCCTTCTCTCTGCCTAATGGATGCTGCAGCCCCCAAGTGAGGCTGAGCAGTAGCTACCAGCTCTACCCTGCCCCTGCACTGTCACTGCCCCAAGATCCCAGCCCCAGCCCTGGCCTCGGACCTGGATGTAGCTCCGGGGAGCTACTCAAACAAGGTGTGCAGGCAGGTGGGGAGCTGTGCCCAGACCTGGGGCTGGGGCCCAAACTTGGGGCAGTGATAGCATGGGGCCCAGGCAGGGCAGAGCTGCAATCCACTCCCTGAACACCCCTGCCCACAGAACCTGTGCCCATCACAAGGGTGTGCAGGCAGCAGATCATGGCTCTGATCCAGCCTGGCCCTGCACTGGCACGGCCCTGCAATGCCACCCTGTGATCCCAGCCTTGTCCACCTGTGCCACTCCTGACTGCCGCTGCCCATGGCCACATCCCACATAGGGAGTTTTGGTAAGTTGTTGCACGGGGGGGCAGAAGGAGAGTGGGAGGGTGCTGACCTGGCCCATGATGGCTCACCAAAACAGCCTGTGTGACCCTCGGGCCCAAATAATTGCCCACCACCATGCTGAGCCAGGATCTGGCCCAGTGGGACCACATCTCCCACTTGTGTAGTCAAGCTCAGCTGTGGACTGTGCTACCAGACCAGACTGTCACACTTTGCATAGGTGCAAGTGCCTGCATCTACTGAGGATCCAGCCTATGGCATTTTATTTGGCTCATGGACTGAATTATACAAAACTTAGAGGAAAAAAATGCTGGTCTTGTTCTAACATCATTGCATATGTCCCTGCACCACATATGGCTGGAAGTTTGTTTATTTTTGTAAAATTGCATTAGAGGTTTGCTGTCACAGAAGAGCTGTTTTTAGCATGTTTTTACACGTTGTGTTCAGATGCCGTGGGATGCAGACAGTCAGGCAGAGTCCCAAAGATGAGTGACAGGGAGGCTGTATCTCAAGTGATGCAATGGAGATCCCAGCTCTTCCCTGGTGTAGGCCACTAATGTGGGAGTGGTGTTGCTGCAGGAAGAGAAGGGTGACCCCTCTTACAACCTGATCTTCTGCAGGTTTGTCCTGTGCTTTGTGATGTCCTGATGCAAGCTAGGTGCAGACCATTACCATACCAACTTGCTTCCACTGCATGTTGTCGTGGCACAGAGTACAGGCAATGGAGAATCAGACCCCAGGATGTGTATTAACTATTGCTGATTATCAGTGATTTGAGTTTTCTATTTCCCATGGGGAAACGGAGAAAAATGCAGATTTCCCCCTTTACCTGAGGAAAACGCAGGCTTCTCATTTTAATGGACAAACCTGCAGATTTTGCACTTTTGCAAAGAGCTTTCTGCAGGCTGGCGGAGTTCCAGGTGTGGTAGGTCTCTGCTGGGTCTTTAAGAAACAGGTAATACTATGTAAAAATTGAAGTATATCAGCTCCCTTAAGGAGTGGAAACAAAGCTCTTGTCCACGGAGGTCCAAGCCACTTGGAACCACCAGAGATGGTTTGTTTCATAAGATCAGGCAGCTGGTACTAGGAGAAATCTTTCCTGAAGAATGGGGTCTCTGTATTACACCCCAAAAATGGCACGATCTGGGTCCTATGCTCATCTAGATGCCAAGTGAAACAAAACAGTAGGGCTGTGCGAAGCTTCAGGTGCTGATTCAGTTCAGAGGATATTCAACCTGATTCGGTGGTCGAATCTCTGAATCCAAATATCTGAATCCTGCCCCTCCTCCACCCCACCCCCACCCACTGTGCAGGAGCTGAAGAGGCAGGGCTTTTTTTTTCTTTTCTTTTTTTTTAAGAGCCGGGAGCTGGGAGAGTGGGCGGGGCAGCCATTGAGAGGGGGTGGGGGGTAGGGCTGATGGCAGTGGCCGAATCTCCGAATCAGATTCAGCCAAATCAATTTGGGACAGTGATTCGAATCACCAGATCGAATCACTGTCCCCCGAATCGGCTGAATCTGAATCCAAAGTGAATACTAGCCGCTTCGCACAGGCCTACAAAACAGCCAACACACTATACAAACACATGGAGACTCAGGCAAATTTATGCATATTGGCACCCAGGAACAGAGCTGTTTGCAGTGGGTGTGTATGTGCTCAACTAGCCCCTACCTGATTTAACATCTATGAAGGGTGGTACAAGGATTTAGAGCCAGGCCCAACATTGAACAGGCCTGATCCTGTTTGCTCTGTGCTTGCCCAAGTCTGCCTTGGCCAGGAAGCAGGCAGTCTCCACAGTAAGTGATCTTTGCAGGTGGTTCCCCATCACAGATGTTCAAAACAAGCCCCAATGCATTTGTGCCGCTTTTGTTCTTTAAGGCAGGAACTGGTGCTGGTATTTGGCACTTTCATCTGTTTTGCATCTGGGTGCTGTTGTTCACCAGGATGCGATTTTGTTGTTGCTGCTGTTCATGTCTGTGGAAATGCAAAGTGACAAGGAAGCAGCCGTGGTGGCATCTGCTGGCTGAGGCAGTTGCAGTGCTAGCTGCAGTGTCAGGGTTACACAGATGGTCCGGCGATGCATTGCTCATTAAAACTGCTCCTATGAAAGACTAGCCACGGCATGACTAAAACCTGAGTTCGTTTCAACTGCCATCTTCCTATCTCAGCTCTCTTTAATTGGCAATGGGTTCTCGGAGAAAAATGCGAGAGGCAGAAGGGACAGCAGAGCTCCGGAAGAGAGACCAGGCCCAGCCTTTTGTGAATAGCTTGTTAACTTGAGTTACCTGCTGGAAAAGCAGGCCCCAATTAAGCTACATTTATAATAGAAAGCATTGTGCTTTGACGAATGAATCTCTCTGCTGATTCCAGAGTCAAAGGCTGGGGCAGGGAACATATTTCTGCAGGACTGTAAGAAAGCATTTAGCAGGCAGGAGGCATGACAGTGATGTTCAGAGCTCTGTGCATAGAGGGACAAGTTATGGGCAACATGAACACTGTCCACCAAACATGCCTTTTCCTTACCTCTTATCACTCTTGGCCCTTCCACCCTTGTTGCTGAAAGTGAGGTCTCCTCTTTCTCTCCCTTGCCTTATGACTTGTTTCCTCAGCCTGCTCCCTTCTCTTTCTCCTCAGATACTGTCTTGCAGTCAAACACGCCTTTGTTCACACTCAGCTCTACCTGCCTTCCAGCCCTTTCCGTTTCTTCCTCCAGACTCTCTGAGACAGTGTCTACTCCAGTGTCTATGAAACCTTTCTCTTCAGCTTTCCCCGGACACCACCCCCAATCAGCAACTCAGCCACCTCCCTCCAAACAGTCTCCTCTGACCACAGCTGTTAATAGCCTTCTCTTGGCACCTCTGAGTCTGATTTCCCCCTGACTGGCCCTTGGATAGACATGCATGTCAATGCTGGTAGGTGTGAAATGTCTGGATTCTTCTTTCAATCACCGGCACAAGTGTAGATGACTTGACAAGGCACCATGGAGCATCAGGCTCACTGTACTCATCCTCTATCACCTTTCTACTACTTCCTAACCTTTTTCCCACTCTCTTCATCAGAGCTTCTTCCCTTCCTCTCCTGACTTCACCTTCAGTGTCGCTGTGGAGGTTTCTGATGCACCATCAGTGGCCCCAAGCTCTGCTCACTGTCCTCTTTCTTTGCTGTCTCCCATGGTATCATCAAAGGATGATGTGAGATGGAGGAGCAAGGGACTACTCCCTGCACCAGCCAGAAGAGAGCCATGTCAGTGCTCCTCCTCTCCCCAGCCTGGTGATCCATCCTGACCTGATCCTCCAGTATTTCACCTAGAGTAGTATACAAGTAACGTCAGCTTTGTACGGCCATTTCTCCATCAGCACTGACCTCCCCACTGTACAAGCTGGCTGGCTTGGCGTTCTCTTTCTCTGCCTCTCCCTTTACATCCTGACCCGTGAGCAATGTCCAGCTCCATGCACACTTCTAGCCTGACCTAAACGGAAACACTCAAAGATGTTGCTATTACTATTCATAGTTTGCACTTAATGCCTTTCATTAAGCACTGCAAGGTGCTCAATGAGCTTTGAATATTTAAGCTTCACTACACCCTTGGGAAGCATGATTAAATCCTTAGATAAATCGAGTTGCAGGGGAATTACATAGGTTCAGATTCTTGCCTCAGTTACACTAGCATCAAACAAGGAGCCAGTCCACTAAAATTAGTGGCGTTCCTGCAGCAGAGTAGACCTAGCAGCAGTGGCAGAACTGGGGTGCTGGTTTGCCACCCCCTACTCTAACCACACTCTTTTCAGCTTTATCAGAAACCACGTGGCCTCCCTACTTGAACGTGAAGTCTCCAAAGTCACATGAAAATGCTGTTGTCTGTCTCTGCTAAACAACTGGCAAAAATTCTGTTTCTCATAACCACTTGCATCGTTCTGTCTCCTCACTTACAGATCTCAACTCCTTCCAGCAGACATCCAAATGGATTGATGATGTCAGGACAGAAAGAGGAAGTGATGTCATCATCATGCTCGTGGGCAACAAGACAGACCTTGCAGACAAGAGGTAAATGAGGGACACGGTTGGGAGGGAAGTGGCAAGGTCCTTGAGGCACAGGGCAAGGAAGCATTACACAGCACAGAAGCATTAATCTACCATTAGCAGCCCCCTGTTTTGGTTGGAAGACTGTCCACATTCAAGTCACTGACTCCCTTGCTGGTGACATCACACCCCAGGGTTACCCTAGTGAATTAGGATAGATTCTGTGTTGCCCTGGAGTCTGCTGAGATGCTGCTGGATAACAACAAAAGTCCAGCCCAGCAATACTTGAGCGCTTACGCCCTGTTCACGGCTCTCTGCAGAAGGAGAATCCTTGAGAATCCGGATCCAAAGTATGGAGTGCTCCACAGAGCCATGCGGGGTAACTAGAGATAAGAGGTCCCAAAAAGCCCAGGTTATGAGGTGGGGGATCCTCTCTCTGAGATTTCCATGTTGTCAATCAACCAAAAAAAAAAAAGCCTTCGGTCACCTGTCACCCTGTTAAGCCCCATACAAACTCCTGATTAAGCAGCATAGGTAAAGCAGCCTTCTTGTCCGCCATGCCTTCCCTGTCATGGCATAAGAGTCGGCAACTCAGGGAGGACTATCTTGTGTGAAGAGTTGTAAGCCTATCTGCAGCAACACCTGTTTGACTGTTCTCTGGGATATGCTGCCAGCTCAGTCTTGAAAGCCCTGCTGGGATTTAACCCAAACCATCCACAACTTTAGCTCCAAGGTAGAGTATAGGGCTCCAGCAAGGGGTCCCCAGTGACCCAGTCAAATGGCTGAGGTCCCCAAATGATAAATGCTGAAGTGAAGATGGTTAGAAGTGGGCACTGCTAATTGTGGCTGCTGCTGATACCTATCTCAGATCCAGAGAACGCAAAGCACCAGAGGTAAGTATAATGAACTTCATTTTATAGATGTGAAGTGACAGGCACAGGGTCACCCAGGAGGCTGGTGATAGCACTGAAACTAGACTCAGCTCTCCTCATTTGAGCCCAGTGCTTTCTCTACTGGGTCACAATTTTGAAAACCAATAATACCAACATAGAGCAAATGGCATATCTTGAGGATAAAATGATGAAAAAAATAAGGATATGTTGGGTGAGATTACACATTACAATCAGATCATGTTAAGACCACATAAACTTGAATGAACACACATTAACTAATACTAAGTGCCTTTAGGAGTCTTAAAGTTATGCCATTTCCATCAAGGATTATTTTTGAGCTGTGCTACCTAGCCTGTCTTCCATTAACTTCTGGATGTTCACTTGAGATAAAACCACAAATCTGTAGTCCTCCAGTATCCCAGGATGCACTACTTCCAGATAGAATAGCTGTCATCCAGGACTCTGCTGCCCTGGACTGACAGCTGGGAACTGCCGGGCAACAGGTGCGTGGGGATGGGGTGAGTGGGGAGGGAGTAAGGGGGAAGGGGCACGGGCAGGCAGCTGCAGGGCCCAGTGAGAGCAGGATCCAGTTGTTGAGGGGTAGCACAAGCTGCAGGGAACCCAGGAGCAGGCAGGGAGGGAACTTCCCCCTTCCCCTCCCTCCCACCCCCCACTGCTGCCAAGGGGCCAGGGCAGCAATCTGGGAGTGAAGGGGTGATCCAGGGAGTGGGAGGAATCCAGGGGCTGATGGGAGGCAGAAGGGTGATTTGGGGGGTGGAGGGGGTGATCCAAGTGGCACATGGGGCCCTTTCCCTCCTCTTCCCCAGCCTATACTGTGACAAGCAATGCAGGCATGGAGCAGACTTTCAGCCTGTAACCACACCCCTGCTCACCAGCTCTCTAGCATTAGGCCTGAGCTGTGAATATTAGGGTGGGTATTACCCCAGAAGTGTGACTGGTCATTGGCACTAGTTAACCTTAACACAGACTAACATTTCTTAGAATTAGCACCTGCTAACTGTAATGTGTAATCTCCCCCTTGTTTGCTAGGGGAGCAGTACTTTTAATGGGTGCCTGCAAGAGGAGCTCCCAATTGCATCCTTATATAAGGAATCTCTCGAAACTCAGTGAAATTAAAATACGAACTTTCCGCTGAGAGATCACTTTTCTCCACCTAGAGCATGCACACAAGACATTAAGGGTGTGGAGGCTGCAGTGTAGTGTAGAGATACCTGAGCCAGTTTCAACCAAGCTAGATAGGAGTTTCACTGGGTTAATTTACCCAGGTTCTCAGAGGAGCTCTGGGATTTGGAGAGATGGAGACAGCCTCCTCCCATATTGAGCTAGAGGGAGCTCTGGGGCAGTAGCAGTCCCTACATGTCCTCTTCCCACTATAGAGATATGGGGTGAGGATTATGAGAGTAGCATCCCTCTGGCTTAAGATTCATTAAAGGTAAAGCAAAACAACCCTCCCAAACCTTATGGGACAGTCTTAAATGTGGGGGCTGTGCCTGGTATCTCAAAAGAGTTTCTGAAATGCGACTTTTGTCATCAATTTAATAAACCAGCCCTGGATTGGGCAACCCCTTTGAATGTCCCCCAGTGAGCTCCTCTGGAAGCATCTGGCCATGGCTGCTTACAGGACACAGCATGATGCTGTCTAGTGCCATGAGAATGTGTTTGCACTGCTTTAGGGTTGAGCAGCAGCCACAGGCTACCTCCTGAGCCAGAAGTAGCTTCACCATGTTCACAGAGCTAATTGGTCCATCTGAGGCACTGTGCTAAGGCAGCTATGCTAAGCAAAACCAGAAGTGGCTTCCAGTGCCGGAGGTCTCTCAGGTATCTGGGACTGAAACCCAAAAATTTGTTCTCCAAAAGTTGCTCACAGGAGAGCATTAATTTGATAGAGGCCAGGAGAAATGCCCTGGTGAAAGAGGGGCAAAGATGGGTGCGGAGAAAGATGCCGATGTAGGGAATGACAGATCTGTGAATGGAAAAGCAACTGTCTACTGACTAGAAATGGGGCTTTCTGTGTCCTGGAAGAGAATGGGTAAGAGCTAGCTAGAGGGGCCCAACAACAGTATAGCAGAGGGATTGGGGTTGGTGGGAGCACATATTTTGGAGAAAGACGATCTGGCTCTACAGAGCATGGTAGAGATCTTGGCGGAGAAAAAAAAGAGTTGGAGTTTCAGGGGCCTGTGAAGAGGCAAGTCGCCAGAAACACACACACACAAGCATGCACCCACACACATGCATGCACACGCTCCTAGAGGTTGGAGGGGAGGGGGGGTTTCTCCCTTGTGTGCTGGCCCTCTTCATAATCAGGAAACACTGCTTTGTCAGGCAAAGTGACAAATCATTTCAATGGCTCTAGGCAACCATCTATCCAGCTGCAGGAAGGGGGTGGAGGAGACGCCCAAACAACAGTCAGTCCCCACCATGTTAACAGCCCAGAGGAGCCTATGGTTCAGCCTCCTGCTGCCACTGCCAGGGAAGTTAGGATTTTGCACCAGAGGCAAAGATCCCGCTTACAACATACTTGCCAGTCTGTTAGGGCACCTAGCCACAATACAGCTGTTGTCATGTTGCCCCACCCATCTGAGAGCAGGATTTGGCTTCCTGCATTGATGGGACTTGCTCCAGGCCACACCGGTCAAACCATATTGTGCCATCAGGATAGTCAAGGCACAACTGTGTAACTGTGGGCCTTAGCGCACATGCTGCCACAATAAAGATGCGAGATAAGTCTCCAGGGCTACATTTGGAAATCCCATCTGGGCTTTGCCATATCCCAAGCTAGACCCACTTATCACATTGCCCTTTATCCAGTCCCATTGCCCCAGTAGTGAAGATATTAACTAGTAAGATACATAACGGATGCGCCTGACACTTATTATATGTCTAGTCCCCACCCCATCAGCAGCAATAGCAATGTACCCCATGCCAGGGGGAGTGACTCACTTCCATTAGTTACTGCAGTGCCAGGAAACTAAAAGGCCTCCTTTGCTCCTGCATTATATTGAACACAATAGTGTTATGCCAGTGTAACGCTGATATAACAGCCTACATTTCCTGGTGTATCTGCAGGTATTATAATGGGGCCCAGAGGCATCTCTCTTCCTTGCAGTTATAAAGTTCACATTTATAGCCCTATCCTCTGCAATACAGCAGTGTCATGCACACTTATTTTTCTGTAATTTCCAGGAAAAACCTGGAGCCTGAAGGATTAGCCACAAGAGCTTCTCCCTGTTATATTAGCAGCCCCATTTTACACAGTTCCCTGCCATTATGCTCACAATTTCTTCTCAACGAGATTTTGTGTCAGCATTGCTGAACGTAGTTGAGTCTACTTCTCAAAGAACTAGCCAGACAGAAGCGGGCAGATAATTCATAACCAACACCTTTTAAAGAGAGATTCTTTTTGGCAGGGGGGAAGGGTTGAAGGGCTGCAGGAGAAGACTGCTGCAGAGTGAAGTTGTTCCTTCACGTTAATACAAGACAGGCAGCTGAGCTGTTTGGAATATGTGGCCTCAATTGTGAGTGCTGCACTCATGAAAAACTCTGGCCTTACTGGCAGTTAACATTTGCTGCTCTACAGGGAACAGGTGTCAGAAGCCAGGAGGTAGCCCTAAGCCCAAGTGAGGCACACTTCCCTTAGCCAAAAGGCAGAACCGATGCATGCACTCCTGAGGCTAGTGAGTGGGCACTCTCATAGTCTTTCTGTGGGGGAGGAGAGGGATGAAGAACTGCTTTAAGCTAAGTTATACAAGCCTCCCCATTTCTGTTGTTTTCCCCCTGTTCTCCTTGACAAGAGGTCAGGGGCATTGCTGTTTCTTCAAGCCTCCAGAAGGTGGCTGAGAAACCAGGGAATGTGGATGTCACTCAAATCAGAAGAATGGATTTGACAGGCAGCAGCCGGCTGGCTGTCCCCAGTGAGATAAAGCAATTTAGAGGGGGAGCTCTGATCTGACAGCTGCTGGGGCAGCTGGAGAATCCAGTTTTTCTACCAATCGATCTGCAGACCAAACTGGAGAAAGCAGGCTGTGCTGGGGAGGAGGGAGTTCAGCCTCCAGGTTCACCCATGCCCAAGCTGGGGCTTCTCTGAGTATTCAATATCGAGCGCTAAGGAGGTGTGCTGGAATTTCAAAGGAGAATAGTCACAGTTCTTAGCTGTGATAGATCCTCTTATTTCCATCTGGAATAAAAATGCAAATGCAGTGTATTTGTTAGTGCCCTCCCCCCCATACTGCCTCAGATGCCTTGTATGTCTTTCATAGTCAGCATACTAAGGAAACGGGGGCAGGTAGAAAAGGATTCTGCCACAGTTTAGATACTCTAGTTACAGGTGAACCTATACTGCGCTGCACTGATGGACACATAATGTAGTCCTGATTCCAGCAGCAAAAAAGGGCTCGCTGAATGTGCACAAAGTGGATGGCATGCCCATGTACACTCAGAGCTAGGGGTTGCGCTCAGGCAAAGGCAGGGAAAGCAGTGCCAGTTGGGTGTGGGGGCAGTACTCTTCCAAGCTCCCCCACAAAATAAGCCTCACCTACTCGGGAACGCCAAGCCAGAACTCCACTTCCAGTAAGTTGTGCAGATGCTCCAAATATGAAGGGAGATGCTCTGCCAGGCTTGGCTGCCTCTCATTGAGTTCAGACACTCCTATGTCCTCTGCTGGGCTGCTCAGGTCCCCCTTGCCCTGTTTACTGAGTGTAAAGTTATTTAGGATAGAAATATGTGGACTGAAATCCTCCCTTGCTCCCCACCTTGTCTCATGCCACAAATATCCCTTTGGATAGCACTTGTTCTGGGAGGTCTCGTTCCTCCCCTGGCTGTGTCATAGGGTTTAGTTATGGGACCTTTGTGGGCTATACATAAGCCTGTGCAGCATAAGCCATGGGTAGGCTGTTGCCAGATGTGGCCATTTTCAAGAGACTGAAGCCAAAGCAGCAGAAGTCAGAAGTATGGCTAAGTAGAAAGTCTTAAAAGCCTATGTCTGAGTGACTGTAGTGTGATCCTTTGCAGATGTAGCAACTAGCTTAGTCAGCAAGGCAAAGGAAAGCCATTCATATGTTTAATGATACAATCAAACCGAGCACAAGACCTAAAAGGGAACGCTATAATCAAGTAATCCAAATACTCTATACCATAGCTTTATCTTTAAATAATTCAAAGTAGTAACTGATATAGCCAAATGTATTAAGTTATTTTGCTGTAACAGATGTATTTTGTTAGAATTCTTAGATAAATTGTGAAAACAAAGCGGCTTTGTCAGACCATAAACTAAGGTGAAAAAGTAACAGACCAGTGTGAAGCAATATTCCACAATGGGATGGGAAAGGAGGTAAGGTAGCCTCCCTTTTGCACCTTTTGCCTTCTCAAGGATATAAATATCAACTAATTGACACTTCCCAGGGTCCACAAGAAATCTAGTTTAATCCAGTTCTAAAAGTTTCAGTGAGGCAAAGAAATTTAATTAAAACCAATCAGAGATCAGTCGTTAGAATATTGGGACTAGCCATCTATAAATATTGGGCATAGGCTGACAAAGTTGGACTTCTACATTTTGGACTTCAAAATTTGGACTTACCCACAGCTCAGCAAACCAACTCAAGTCCCCAAAGAAAAAGAGAAGCCTGGCCAGTGGGTCTGTTTCTTCCCTGAATAATCATACAAATAAGTCCTTGCTATTGTATATCCTAATAAAGCTTTCGAGTTGTGGCTGGACTGGTCTCACTATGCCATCAGTCTCACTCTCAACCACAGTTAAAATTAAGCGTAACACCTTGACTCACATGCAAAGAAACAGAACTGTGTTCTAGACTACGCACTTACTATGGTTTTGTTTCCTTTTCCCTCCTGTTCTCAGACTTAAACAGCCTCTCTTCCTGGCCCTTCTTGGCAGGGTTAGTGCAGTTACAGTTTTCCCTTCTCTGTGTCCTCAGGCAGATAACAATTGAAGAAGGAGAACAGCGAGCCAAAGAACTGAGCGTCATGTTTATTGAGACCAGTGCAAAAACAGGATACAATGTAAAACAGGTAAGGGAACACCTGCTCCAGCCAGAACTGCAGCCATGTGAAACAGCTGAGCCAGCAGGCTCACTGCAGGGACTTAGTTAAGCTGCCCTTTTGCCAGACAGGAACTAAAGGCTGCAATAAGGGTGACTATTTCAAATCAACACAGGATGCAAAATTATATCTATGCAGACTTTACAAACAAAAATGTCCTCCACTTTGACATCACTAGACTGTTTCTATATGAAGAGCGTTTAGATTCCCCATAGTGCTCTCTCCAGGTCTAGAATGTCAGGACACTGTGTGCTACGTGCACATGTTAAAATTGGATGCAATGTGTAGTCCCACTGCAGTTCCAACCTGAACACAGCTACATACAATTACAGAAACACAGAAAAATAAGGCTGGAACAGATCTCAGGGGGTCATCTAATCCAGCCCCCTGCTCCAGGCTAAACCATCCAAGACAAACATTTGTCCAACCTACACTTGAAGATTCCCAGTGATGGAGATTTCACAGCCTCCCTAGGTAATCTGTTCCTGTGCATAGCCCCTCTTTAGAAAGGCCTTTCTAATACCTAGCCTAAATCTCACTTGTTCAAAGTTAAGTGCATTACTTCTTACCCTGTCTCCTCTGCTCATAGAGAACAGTGAATCACCATCCGCTTTATAGCAACCCTTTTTGTATTTGAAGCATTCTCAAATCCCCCTGTTAGTCTTCTCTTCTCCAAACTAAATAATCCTGATTCTTCCAACCTTTTCTCACAGATCATGTTTCTAGCCCTCTAATCTCTTTTGTTGCTCACACATACACCTGGGTTGCTTGTGTCCTAAACAGTTCACAGGAAGAACTAGGAAGTGTGTTAAGCAAGCATATTTCTCCATCTAGGCAACTGGAAATGAAGGAAGACTTTGATACAGAATGTGTTTATTAGCTTTAATTAATTTATGCACATTACAGCAAGGAGACCCACTACCATTACCTGCTGAAACACCTCTGGAGGTTAGCTCCCTATTTGACTCTTACGCCTTCAGGCTAAGCGTTGCCTCTTTATTACGTGGTTATACCTTTTTATTTTTATGCTTGCAGTATGTTGTGAACCCTCCCCTTCTGCTTGGGGCCCAGAGACACCACTGTAACAGTGCTGATGAGGAGGCAGAGTTCTCCTTAATATGTACCCCATAGGAAAAAAAGAGGTTCTAGGTGACTGCACAGACAAGACTGTGTGTATATACTTGAATGAAAAAAGTGAGACGTCTACTGTGCACCTGAACACACCATTATCCAGAACCTAAAAACAAATGTCTAGTCTTGGTGCCCGCATGATAAAAGCCACAGCGACAAAACAGTCATGATTTCAAATATGGTGGTGATAATCTGTCATTTTGAACAGATCCCTCTCTTAGCCTTAACGTGATGTATCAGATCCAAAGTTAAAAATCCCTAAATTCCTTCCACACTATGGGTGATGTAATATTAAATCCCCTCAGGTATGAGCAGTCCTCCTGTAAGCAATCATGTAAAGCCAACAGCATCTTTTGGAATTATTTGAGAGACGAGCAGAAAGCACAATATCTCAAATATTCTGACAAGGGTTTATCATGTAGCGTGCATCAAAAATTGCAAGTTTATTTGTATACATACTGCAGGGGGTGATGACTGGTCCCTGCTGGAGGCTGTTTACCTTAGAGAGTAATGCAGTGCAGTGAGTGCACACTGCAAAATGCTATGGAGGGGGAAGTTTCATATATGCTGATGCTTCCATCAAAGAAGGAAAAAGGTGACAGGCGAGGGATTACATTGCTAACAGAGAGATCTGGTCTGCAATAGCACAAGATGGCAGCTTAAGGGACTAGCTGCACTAGGTACTAATGTTTCAGGGACAGAGTGTCATTTAGTGCAGGCAGTTGAAAGTACAAATGATAACATTGAGAAGCAAATCCTCAACTGGTGTAGAACAGTGTATTACCAGGCATTTCAAGGCAGCTATTTGTGCCAGCTGAAATCCAAATTAGGACAATGGGCTAGCTCGCCTGTGAGTGCCAGGCTCAACTATCCAGTCAGGATACATGTAACAAAATTAACACAGATCTTTATTTCCTGGGAAGGAAACAAAAGATTATACAGCATGTATTTTACTTAAAGTATCTGAACTGCCCAAACAAATGTATATCTACCAGTTCATCCAGTTGCATAATCAAATGACTTTCTCTGTCACTAATCAGACAGGTTCCCTGCATCACATTCATCTCAAACTAAAGGGAACATCTGAGCACTTGCAGAATTTAATTTAAGCTGCTAGACACAAAGCCTGCCTCATCTCTTGCTCAGAGGCCCATGAGGTTGGTGCTTTTGCAAGTGTTTTTGTATCAACCTTAGTAAATTCATCTGTTTACACCAGAAAAAGCTCATAATGTAGACACATACAAGCCAGTTTCTTTAAGCTAGTAACTTTTTGAATGAGACTACATTAGTAGAAGGTGATTGTAAATAGATTTAGTTATACCAACAGGAGTTTTCTAACACAGATAATCTTTACACACCAATTTGAGGGGCTAGCCTAATTTACACAAGTATGTAAGTGAAACAACTACTGTCAGGTCCATGCTTTTTCTTTGCCAACATTACAGGTGATGAGCTTTTCTGTTGCCAATGATATTTTTAAAATGTCAACTTCAGCAACAAATCCCTTCTTTCTCTCCTTCCTCCAGCTGTTCCGACGTGTCGCGTCAGCTCTGCCAGGGATGGAGAGTGTTCAAGAGAAGAGCAAAGAAGGAAGTATCCTTTTATATATATACATATATATATCTCCCTCTGTATATAGATATGCACATATATAATTCCACCTCTTCCATAGGACTTCTCTCCCATAAATCTCAAAGGACTTTGCAAAGGAGGTCAGTATTGTTGGGCCTCCCTTTAACAAATGGGAAAGTGAGGCTCAGGGAGATGAAGAGAACTACTGGGGTCATCTGGCAGGTCAGTGGCAAGCTACAAATAGAACCCAAGTCTCCCAATTCCACCAAACTCATGCTGCTGCTCACTGGACAGCATAGTGCCCCCAGAGCATGCTCCCTGCATGGATAACCTGAAGCAGTGGAGGGGAACAGAGATGAATGTAACTTTACTGGGTACAGTAGAAAAGGCTAACCACCATCAGACAAAGTGTGCAGCACTCAGAACCCACTAATGGTGAAATGCAAAGCACAAAATTGTCCTGAGATCCATCCAGATCCCACACACTCCCATATGCTGCAGCCCTGGTCTAGCCCTGGTCTGAAGCACAGGCAGACATAACACGACATGGGCAGCCCAGACCTGCTTGCATTCTCGGTCAGCCCAAGGCTCAGAGTCTGTGCGCGCTTTTGTCATGAAACTTAGAGGCAGTACTGGGGGGTATAAAGGAAGCATACATAAAATTTCAAAATCAAGATGCTTGGTTGCACTTTCCTTGTCTGTGTTTGCATGGTACACATTGGGAACTTACCCTGTTCCTTTTCAGTGCTGGCCTTTGCCATGCAGCTCCATTCAAGGAACACCCTCCCTGCCTGCACTGTTGTGAAGGGCTGATGTTCAGGGGGTGTGGAGGGAACAATGTAGGAAGAGAAGGATGAGGATCTAGGAATGTGAGCCTTCATGCCTGCACATGAACAAAGGCCTGATAGAAAAAGGAAATGGCCCTGTAAAGAAATGGAAAGAGTCACAGGGAGAGCAGCCAAGTGTGAAAGAGCTAGAAAGGGTAATGAAAAGAGATGGGCTAGAGCTAGAGAATGCATGAAATACCATCAGTCAGAGAAGATGAGAACAGAAAGAATGGCTCTGTCACTGTATCTATAAAGGTGCATGTCTGCCCTGCCTTCTGACTGACTTCAGACTAACACGGTTAACTACCTCTCCCTTTCATTGTAACCAGAGCACTTGGAGCTCAGCATTTCCTTTGAGAGACCGAAGGCCAGACTTTCTAAAGTATATAGATGCATCCAGTGGGATTTTCAAAAACCCATAAGCAGGTCTGATGCCTAAACTCTATTGAAATAAATGGTGAATTAATTAAGCCCCCTAACCCGATCAAAACCTTGTGAAAATCTCACTGGATTGGCCAATCTGGTTTGAGTATAAACTGCTCAAAGGAAGATAAAAGGGAATTCAGAGCTGGTAGTGTTTATGCTCAGAAGACACGTTAAGTATAACATGCTTCCTCTTACAAAAGCTGTCTCACATATGAGTCCAAATTTGGGAGTAGAGAGCTTCCACACCCTAGTTCAAACAGTAGGTATCTGCTCAATGCAGAAGTCACTAGGTCCTGTGTTATGCAGAGGTCGAGCTACATAATCATGGGCCTTTTTCATCTTCAGAGTTCTAAGTTTATCCTGAAGGGGCCACATCAAAGGCTAAAAAGAGTAGCTCAGTATTAATAATGAGAATGGTATTCACAGCTTGAGGTGTACATACAGCTCAGTTTCTCCCACTGTTATACAGGTATTGGGAATATGTGAACTGTCAGACTGGATTAGACTTGAGGTCCATCTCAACAGGTGTCCTTTCTCTGACACTGGCAGCACCAGCTGCTTCAGAAGAAGGTATAGGAACCCCACAGTGGGCTGCCCCTGCACAAAGGTCACACAGGTCCCTAATAATTAGAGATTTGCTTAAACTGTAAAGCACCAAATTTAACAGAGCCCAGTTTCACAGCCTTCCTATTGAGTGGCATATTCATAGGCAAACACTTTGCTGACGTTAGTGACCACAAAACAAAATTAGCCCCCTAACCAGCCATTTCGCACTCTGTGTCCACTGAGTCCTTGCTATCTGTGCTCAAATTTATGACATGAGTTAACTGTAGTGATGAGGTTTGTGGTATGATGAGAATGAGCAACCTGCTCTAGAAGAGTTAAGACCTTCCCAGTAGGATATCCATCCTTACGCCTGTCTGCTCTCTACCTGGTAAGCGGTACAGGCAGGCCTCATGTTAAACAGCAAGGCAGAAAAAGCATGCGACGTGGGGGTAGTGAGTGAGCAACCCTGCACCCTACACATCCTCCCTCTTGCCAGCCTCTGAATCCTTCAGTGTACCTAGGCCAAACAGGCCCATGTTTACAAGAGATATTTTAGATATTACAAGTTCATGAGAATTTTCTATCCACTCTTCCCAGCTCCTCCCATTTGTCTTGGAAGCCCTGACATTCCCAGGTGGTCATGCAGAGCCTGAAGCTGCTGGGGTGGGGAGAAGCATCCCCAAGGGGGCCAATGGGAGTTTTAGTGGAGAAGGTCATAGTGCCAGGTCAGGCAAGGTGCTTTGGGAGGATGGTGTGGTTTGGGGCTTAATTTCAGCTCAGAACTCAAACCTTTTTGGTTGAGGCAGTAGATGGTCTAATAAATGAAAACTTTCTCATAGGTCATCACCAGTTTCCCCAAACCAATCACCATAATAACCGATGAAGAGAAATGTGGAGGCTGGAGGGCAGTTGTAATGACATGAGCTCATTAGAGCTCCCATTGCCCCCACATGCATGCCACAATGACTGCATTCCTGGTGGCTGACAGGGGGGAAAATTAGCTTCAGTTCCTGCAAAAAAAAAAAAAAAGAGGCTGCTTTCCCTTTATTCCTGAGGGTTAATGAGGTGATATTGAGGTGGACTATAGCCATACCTCTAAATTCTCCCCACCGCTGGTGCTCAGCTCACTCCTGTGCTACCCTGCTCCTTGCAGTCAGTGAGAGGGGCTTGTCCTGAGAGCACAGTGCCCTGCCCTAAGCTCCATCCTTTGGTAGGTAATGCCTACTGGTCACGTCTGCATGAGACACTTACTGCACATTGTACCACTGCACAGTAGTGTGTCACAGCAAAAACCATACTAATAGCCTACTGCCCAGTGTTATTAGGCTAATGCTCAGTAAACGTCACTAAATAACCATTTACCAGTGCTACTGTACAGTAACTTTAGGTGCTGCGCATTTGGTTAGTACTTTATTAAGGAAGACCTAAACTAAATGCGCAGTATCTAAGGCACATTAATAAACATGTAAACGCGCCTACTGGGAATAGACAGGCCCTGGCATCTGAGAGAGAAAACAACAGTCACCAAGTGAGCACAGAGGGGCTGGGATAAATTGGGATCCCTGAAGCAGTTAAACAAACGGTCCCTTTATTGTGCTGACTCCTGCCCTTTTTGGTTGCTGTTGATCAGTCTCTCAGACTCTATTTATTTCATCAGGGACACTGGATTGACAGTCTAATTCAGTGACACTGACTGGCTGGTACTGAGCCATCCATCTGCTCAGAGGATGGCTAACAGGCTAATGCTATTCAGACTTCTGCTGCAGAGCAGTACTTAACCCCATTTAAAAAGAAATTCTCAAAGGCCTGACTCCCGTACGGCTCATGCCCTGTTTGTGTAACAGTTTGCCTACTGTGAGAGGCAGGGAAGGGGGAGGAATTGACCCAGAGCACTGAAAGTTGTGGGGGTATTGACCCAGAGCACTGAAAGTGCATGCTGGCTTAGGTTCAAGAAACAGTTTAGCCTGCAGCTGCTTCTTTGTCTGTGTGTGATTAGGTAATGTGAATGACACCAAGGCTGCTAGCATGGCAGCACAGAGTCCATAGGAGCCCTCTGGTTTATGTCCACACCTCCTTCTTCAGCATACCCCACCCATCATGAGGACATCCTGCTGCTGCTGCTGTCAAGTGGACCAGAGACACGGGTCTCAAGAGCTGGGGGGGATGTCCCTTAAGCAGCTTGAATGTCACATTTCCACGTGTGATGCTTTTGAGTAGGAGTGGGGTGGGCATGGCTTGCACAGCAGCAATCTTCCCCAGGCATACTGGGGGTGTACTGTAAACAAGCCCACAGTGTCTCAGTTGTTCTGGTCTCCAAACAACCTGATAACAGTGGTAGCTCTGGGTTTGGTTTGTATCCATTAGGGTTGCCAGCTGTGGTCGCCCTGAGAACTAGAAGGCCCATCGGACTTGTGAAGTTAGCGAAAGCACTGATGCTCAGAACATCAAGGAGCTGCAGCATAACTATCCAAAGTATCTCTCTGCCGTTACTAGCAGAGATGCATTCCAGTAATACTCTCAGTGCTGTCCCTGCTCTAGCAAGTAGCACCAGTTCCCATAGCACCTATGTATAATTGCCCAGAGATGTTATTCTCCCTTCTATTCTGATAGCTGTGGCCTGGTGACCTTAGTCCTGTATCCACCAGATATTGGCAGCCTTAGAGACATTATTTGTTCACCTAGTCTAAGAGCAGCAATAAGCAAAGATACTTCTGACCCTTTACAAAGTACAGTTTTGAACAGAGAGGGCCCATTTGTAAAGTGCATCGTCCCTGACTGCCCGTGGAATTTCACTGTCCTGGGAAACAGCAGTCTGCGAAATCTGCTCTATGGTCCGATGCTTCTGGAATGCCGGAAGAGCTGCACTTTGCTTGTGCAGAAGATAGAGGGTGTCAGAGTCACAGATAATAAAATACCATTAGTCTTCTAAGCAAATCCACTCAAGCGAAGAAAAGCCATCAAGCATGTACGTGCATGTCCTCTGTGACCGTGCAGTCACATCCTGACATGCTTCCCAACCAGAAGAAAAATATCCACTAATGCACTGGCTCATTTTCCTCCTTTTCGCAGAGTGTACCTGTTCTGCAATGGGCTATGCAGTGGTGGGTCTGCATTTCCTGGCTTTGATACCACTTTCTGTGGAAAGTTTCCTAGCTATTTTATTTTTTACTTCTGCACTGGCTAAGTATGCATGGTAGCTACTGGAGTTATATATCAAAGCAG